GGTGCTGTAAATGTCATATGTTATTACAGACATTTTGATTAATCCAGCTATAACATTTTTTCAAAATTATATAGGAAATATGCTACATATCATATAAACAAAATATATACAATATATAAAAAGTAAAACAAATAAACATAGTTGTGAGGTGTGGTAGCCAGGTGGGCTACCACACCTACCACACTTGATTTCCTACAATAAATACTACTCACCTCTCACCCTACATTAAGACTACAAATACTTTAAGGTAAGTAATGAGTGTACCACATCTGCTTGGTTTTTATGCCTAGTTCTATTGCTAATTAATATATGATAGTGTAAACATGTTATCAGGCATTTATATGCATTTAAAAGTCAAAAAAAGTGTGATTCGTTTTATGAAGATTTCCACTTTATGGCAGTAGCTTGGAATCTAACCCGCCATATAAGTGGTGCCCTCCTGTGTAACAAAATACAGTGGACCCTCGGTTATCGGCCATAATCTGTTCCAGAATCTCGGCCTAAAACCGAAATGGCCAAAAAATGAAATAATATTTCCCATTAGAATTAATGTAAATACAATTAATTTGTTCCAGACACCCAAAAATATTCACAAAAAAAAAAAAAAAATTTTAAAGATTAATTATAGTTTTACATACACAAAACAATGAGAACTAAATAAAATAAATACATGAACAATTAAATCAGTATTACATACCTTTATTGAAGACTCTTCTTAGCTTATGGAAGATAGGGAGGAGAGAGGCTTGAGAGTCACTGTACCCCTGCAACTCACTCCACTTTGCACACATGTCCTTAATCACTGAAGAAGGCACATTCTCCCCTCTCTCTTCCTCCTCTTCTGAAGCAATTTCCTCAGCTGTGGTCTGTTGCTGTTCCAGATGAAAGTCTTACAGCTCTACCCTCTACCACCATCACTACCACCATCTACCACCATCACAACCACTACCACCATCAATACCACCCTCTACCACCATCACTACCACCCTCTACTGCCATCACAACCACTACCACCATCACAACCACCCTCTACCACCACCACAACCACCCTCTACCACTATCACTACTGCCCTCTATCACCACCACTCTTGTACTTTGCTACAATTTTTCTTAAATTCCATCGCATTTCTCACTTTCTTTACCAAAGGAACTTTACTAGGAACTTTCTTTGGGGCCATAGTTACTTATTTTGCAGTTGCACTTGGCCCTTTCAGGGTTTCGGACGTACTAGTACGGCTTACGCACCAGGGTTTTTGACATACTAGTACGCCTAAATTCTAGCGCCCTCAAATCTAGTGAGAGAAAGCTTGTAGGCCTACATATGAAAGAATGGGTCTACATGGTCAGTGTGCGCAGTATAAAAAAAATCCTGCAGCACACAGTGCATAGTGAGAAAAAAAAACTTTGTGTTTTTGGATTAAAACAGCGACTTTGCACTGTATTTTCATATGGTATTTATTGTTGTATTCTAGTTTTCCTGGTCTCATTTTATAGAATGGAAGACATATTACAGAAACTGAGATGATTTTGACTGGTTTTATAATGAAAAGTACCTTGAAATTGAGCTCAAAGTAGCAGAAATGTTTGATTTTTACCAAAGTTCAAAAGTAAACAAATCATGCTAAGCGTCCAATACACATTAACTGGTGAGTCTAATATTCTTTCACAAGTGCGCCGATATTATTTATACCATTTCTACACTAATGCAGTAATCTGCATAACAGTAAATCTTCTGCTTTTTTGTGAGAATAAAAATTCAAAGTGGAAAGCAAAAGAATGTAAGAGGGGTGTGGGGACGTGACTAATGAACAGAGGAAATGTTATTTTAATGCCAGGAATGTCTTTCTTGTTTATTCTGGACCCTATTTGGAAATTGGCATCTTTTGAAATTTGTGTGAAATTGGCAAAATTGCTAAATTCTGACCACTGTATTGGAGAGTTGAAATCGGTAAATGGGTGGTTTCTTGTACTCATTCGATAGAGAAAATGGAGTTCTAGCGAAATAGTTATGATTTTTGTTGACTAATACAGTGGACCCTCGACCAACGATATTAATCCGTTCCTGAGAGCTCATCATTAATCGAAATTATCGTTAGTCGAGTTAATTTTCCCCATAAGAAATAATGGAAATCAAATTAATCCGTGCAAGACACCCAAAAGTATTGAAAAAAAAAAAATTTACCACATGAAATATTAATTTTAATACACACAAACTGAAGAAGACATGTACAATTACATGACACTTACCTTTATTGAAGATCTGGTGATGATTGATGGGATGGGAGGAGGGGAGACTGTGGATGTTGTTAGTGTTTAGAAGGGGAATCCCCTTCCATTAGGACTTGAGGTGTCAAGCCCTTTTCCAGGGTTACTTCCCTTCTTTTAATGCCACTAGGACCAGCTTGAGAGTCACTGGACCTCTGTCGCACAACATATCTGTCCATAGAGGCCTGTACCTCCCGTTCCTTTATGGCATTCCTAAAGTGTTTCACAACATTGTCAGTGTCACAATTTAACACTTGTTCAGGTTTCAATTCTTCACTGTCTATGCACTCCTTGAATTCCTGCACATATTTTTTAGCTGCTTTTTTGGTCCAAACTGGCAACCTCACCATGCCTTATCACACTATGTATGCCACTACGATTCTTAAATCTCTCAAACCAACCTTTGCTGGCCTTAAATTCACGTCAAAGACCTGGGAGTGATCATGTAGGAGGATCTCACCTTCAAGGACCATAACATTGTATCAATTGCATCTGCTAGAAAAATGACAGGATGGATAATGAGAACCTTCAAAACTAGGGATGCCAAACCCATGATGACACTCTTCAGGTCACTTGTTCTATCTAGGCTCCAATATTGCTGCACACTAACAGCACCTTTCAAGGCAGGTGAAATTGCTGACCTAGAAAATGTACAGAGAACCTTCACGGCACGCATAATGGAGATAAAACACCTCAATTACTGGGAGCGCTTGAGGTTCCTGAACCTGTATTCCCTGGAACGCAGGCGGGAGAGATACATGATTATATACACCTGGAAAATCCTAGAGGGACTAGTACCGAACTTGCACACGAAAATCACTCACTACGAAAGCAAAAGACTTGGCAGACGATGCAACATCCCCCCCAATGAAAAGCAGGGGTGTCACTAGCACGTTAAGAGACCATACAATAAGTGTCAGGGGCCCGAGACTGTTCAACTGCCTCCCAGCATACATAAGGGGGATTACCAACAGACCCCTGGCAGTCTTCAAGCTGGCACTGAACAAGCACCTAAAGTCGGTTCCTGACCAGCCGGGCTGTGGCTCATATGTTGGTTTGCGTGCAGCCAACAGTAACAGCCTGGTTGATCAGGCTCTGATCCACCAGGAGGCCTGGTCACAGACCGGGCCGCAGGGGCGTTGACCCCCGGAACTCTCTCCAGATAAACTCACATCACCACTAGTTGCAGGCATTTTTCTAATTAAATCCTAATGCAACTTCCTAGCCTTTTCACATATGATCGCTTGAGAGATGCTATCTCCTGCTATCTGTTTTTCGTTTATCCACACCAATAACAGTCTCTCAACATCTTCTATCACTTGCGATCTCAGTTTCGAAAACATAGTTGCACCTTTGGCAAGGACAGCTTCCTTGATTGCAGTTTTCTTGGCCACAATAGTAGCGATGGTTGATTGGAGTTTTGTGTACAACCTGGCCAGCTCGGAGACACGCACTCCACTTTCATACTTAGCAATGATCTCTTTCTTCATATCCATAGTAATTCTCACCCTTTTTGCTGTAGGGTTGGCACTAGAAGCTTTCTTGGGGCCCATGGTGACTTATTTTGCAGGTGCAATCACTAAAAACGCTGTGATAATATGAAATGTTCCGATTGTATGTTTGGATGGGACCGCGGTGGCTGGCTGGCTTGTAAACACTGGCCACAAGTGGACGCGTCTCAGACGGAATGAATCGTGTTGGTCGAGTTTTTTAGCGGTAGTCGAGGCAAAATTTTTGCGTTAAAATGTATCGCTAGTCGGATTTAACGTTAGACAATGCCATCGTTGGTCGAGGGTCCACTGTACACTGGAATTGGCCGAAAAGAGAGCTCAAAGTGGGCAAAATCGCTGATGCATATACATCGTCGAGACCGCTAAATTCGCGAGTGCATAATTCTGTAAGTTTTCCATCAAATTTCATACTTTTGGTGTCATTATGATCAGGAATAGATTCTCTATCTTTTCATAAGAAAAAAATAATTTTTTTTTTGAAATTTGGGCAACCCTGAGAACAAGTCTGGGAGAGGGCCTGGGGACCCTGAAAGGGTTAATAAATAACCACCAAAAACAATGGATTATGGCAAAATGTTTGGATGAATGAGCAGAAGCCTCCTTACTCGCCCAAAGACAGCCAGACTGACTCGCGAGCAGCTGGTGGCAGTGGGCTGACGTGTCCCATATGGCCGATAAGCGAGTTGGCCGATAAGCGGAACAGCCGATAACCGAGGGTCTCTTTAATAATGTATAGTTAAGCAATGAAAAAGGCCAATAGTGAAAGACTGGAGACAGCTGTCAGCTGTGTTCCTAGGCTTCTCAAAATTAGAGTACAGGTTACTTTTTAAGTGCCGATCACTGATAAGAGAAGAATATTCTTAATTCATGAGCTACATAAAAGCTGCCACAAAAACTAAGCATAGGAATAAGAATAAGAAGTTTATTTTAACATGATACATGTTTGTACAAAGCTGTATGACAATTGGGTGTACATGCCAACAACCCTTTTATGTGCAGAGTATTTTGGGCAAACTTAAGACTAACTTAAGAGTAATATGGCAATAACAGTATGAGTAATTTTGTACATATAGTCACTTAGGCGAGTGTAATTTTAAATTTAGGAGTTAACAATGAATACAAGAGAACTGAATATTCTATTAGTTCATGCTATATGGCTTGAATAAGTTAGAACATATGCAGTTGGATATACTGTATGTATGTATATGTAAAAATTACACCTACCAATCATCAATCGAACAGTATCTGGATTGAATGGTGTCCAGTTTCCATTGGAGAGGGCAGACTGCAGCTCTCCTGCATCAATAGCTCCACTGCCATCCTTGTCTACTCTGCCGGTAATAAAGACCAGACTGGCTAAAAACTGTATTCAGAAAATATCATGAAGCATCAGTAAATGCAAATCTACATTAAACAGTATTCTAGACAACTTACCTGCCCTTGATTTACATGTGTATACAAACGAGCCTTCCACAGTACGATATATTGAGCAATTAACAATATTTTTTTTATAAATAAACATTATGTATGTACACGTAAACAGCCGTATAGCCCTTGTGGCTTAGCGCTTCTTTTTGATTATAATAATAATAATACACGTAAACAATCCCCAAAACTTACTGCTGGAAAACGCTAATAAGGAAATTCCTGTCAGGCATTCCACCAGCCATTTCAGTTGTTTGCAGCACCAATCTGAAACAAAAATAAAATACTGCCATCACTAATAACTTTACTTCATAGAAACTAAAAGTATGAAATTTAAGCTTTCTCCCTTAAGTTAAATTTGTTGGTTAAAATGATACAATTTAGAAAGCTTGTCTGAACATCCACATTTTGCTTAGCTGTAGATAATGATGGTAAGAAATTACGAGGTAAAAATATTTTTGTATAGTTCATTCACAGATTTCATGAAAAAAAGGGGTTAATTTTAAATAAGTGCAGTATGGATTAATTGAATTTTAGTCAAATTATGTCAAGAATTAGTTCAAAGTATTTTAAGGAAATTTTCACATTAGTGCATATATGCACCGAATTAATATTTAGGTGTATGAAAGTTAAAGCAGATAAACTTGAATGCTTTACATACATACACACATTTATATATATACAAGTGTTAGAATAAAGTGTTACCTGGTGTAAAACTACATGTACTAGGAGAGACCTCCTACATTATATGAAGGCCACAGTGTGGTAAGCTCTCACTATATTACCTTCAATTTTATTCTGAGAATACTGGATACTTGCCAGGCACTTTATACAATGCAGGAATTTCCATTGCAAATTACTAGTTCAGTCACTCACTCTGCTGCTACTACAGAACAAAATACAGTATATAGCCTAGTACAGTTGTAACCATAGGATTTTGTTGTTAGAATCAAGCTTATAAGTAAATTAAATATACACTTTAAATTATACATACATGTTACATAACAGGATTTACATAGGCAGTGGAACTATGTACTGTCTTGAATAAATGTAAACTCATTTATAGATTATTCAGACCTTTCACATGGTACAGAAGCCTACAATAAGTTAGAGTGACTAGCTATGAATATCTATTATTCCTTTTGGTAGTGCAGAAGTAGGTAAATCAGCCAATCTTTTAGTTTAAATATCCTTACTTTTTATTCTATCAAAAATAATTATGCATCCTGGGAAAGATAGTAATTAATATATTGTACCAAACTTTTAGACTTAAAGGAACTAATCTATACCACTGTATATAGTATGGGAGTACTAGCATGTAATATACATTCTTAAACAAGTTAATCTTGTTTAAGTTACTTTGAATTTCGTGCATTTACAGCCATAAGACATTCTTTCAAATTGGGTGAATCATACTATAGCAACCCTAATATTGATAAGGTTTGCTCAAGTATGGTTCACCCAATTTAAGGAACAGGGGTTATGGTCTAATTTTGTTTACTGGTTACAGTACAATTTTTCCCAAGATACACAGATTGTGTTCTGATTTATTCTAGATGTGAATTCAACAACCGGAGCAATTTTTCCTATAAAGAATAATGTAAATACAGTGATACCTCACACATCCGGCCTGCCATTATCCGAACCTTGCCAATATCCGAACAGGCCCTGGGAAAGGGCAAAATACTAAAATTACCGAAACATCTGAATGGCCATTCGGATACGGCAGAAGGCTGAATCAAACGTGGTGCACACTTTAGTGTACCATTATTACAGCTGTGTTTTGTCCTAGCTATCTTGTGCATGGCACCAAAGAGGGCCAGGAATGTGCTTACTCTAGAAAAAAGAGGGAAATATTGTCGCACGTGGATGCAGGTTGGTCCAACGCTGGGGAAAAAACTACAGAAGACGACACGCAGGACTGCCTAGAATGTGACGAAGTCAACCCTGGTGTAAAACCTCTGACAGATGCAGAGATTGCAGTATCAATGTTGCACCTGGAACATTCCGAAAGTGACGACGACGACCCAATGCCTCTAAGGCCAAAAACTTCAGCAGCAAGGGCAGGTGTCAAAACACTTTTGGAGTATTTGGATCATCCACTGTCCACAGCCCATTTGAAAAGTTATGATTCTGTGGTCCGTGAAATCTGGGAGGCTGTTATTAGAGCCCAGAAATCTGGTCCCACCGCCAGACAACACTGGACTCGTTTTTTAAACCTACAATGCCGTTGTCAATGGCAATATGATGGGGTATGGATGACGATACGATGGTATGGATGCACATTTTTTCCCCTCACGTATCTGGAAACTCCGTGTTTCCGAACCGGTCTTGGCCCATATAGTTCGGATATGAGAGGTATCACTGTAGAATTAATCCATTCCAGACCCCAAATGACAGCATAATAATTTATTAAATATGTACTAAGTACTACATAAAACTGTAAAAATTAATAGTAAAAGAAACTTTAACTGAAATATTGTACAGTAAATGAAAATTTAACTGCCTCTCACCTGTCAGAGGAGAGCTAATGATACACTGGAAGCAGGAGGTGGAGAAGAGGAGAGGGTATGTTACTGCCTGGAAGGAGAGTCACATTTTATTAATATGTCAGGCAACTGTCCTTCTGGTGTTGTTTCTCTTCTCTGTCTCTTTTTCGTCAGTAACACCTTGTTCTGGCTCACTGGTTTTTTGTCTCCCTAAAAACTTGTCCAGTGAAGTTTGTTTCAGGCTCCGTTTTAACATTTGTCTAAATTGAGACATTACACTGTCATTGTACATGTTAGAGACGGATGGTCATTGATTTGTCTGGATGGTATTTTTCAGCAAACTCCTGCACTTCATGCCATTTAGCACACATTTCTTCGACAAGTGCAATGGGCACATCATCCCTTCCCTTCTCTTCCTCTGATGACAGCTCCTCTGCTGCAATCTGTTGCTGCTCCTCCTGAAGGTCTACAAGTTCTTCTGTGGTGAGTTCAGTTCTGTGCCCCTCCAACTCCCCCACATCACCTTTCTACAAGTTCTGTGGTGAGTTCAGTTCTATGCCCCTCCACCAACTCCCCCACATCATCTTCAGTCACCTCTAGGCCCAAGGTTGTCTTCTTAAAAACTCGTGGATTTTCAGAATGATAAACAAGGGCTTCAATTTCAAGTCCTCCACTTGCATTACCACATAATAACAGAGTGAGCCTATCTTTCATTATCTTGTGTCCTGGCAATGATTTTTCCTCTTCAGTTATGTAGGTCCTCTTGGGCATTTTCCAGAAGAGGCCTGTTTCGTCACAATTAAACACTTGTTGGGAGACAAGCCCTCAGCATCTACATACTTTTGGAATTCAGACCATGTTTTTTTCTTCAACAATTGATTTTACACCTCTCAACTAAATCATCTCATCCAATCAACTTCAAATTTTCAACACTTGTGTACAGTAATGAGGACCAAAGTCTTGAAACAATTGGCATGTTCACATGCCCTATAACTAAAGTTGTTGAACCCATTCCTGTCCTCCTGGAATGGCTCAGATAACTTCAGAAATCCACAGTGACATAGCTTCAAATAATCAAAAAAAGTACCAAAAATTTTGACAAAGGCAAAGATTGAAATTCAAATGCACTGGTACAGATTTGAAAATTTTGTGTGAAACAGTGAGAAATTTGTATTCCCATTAATTTTGTTATTTTTCAGTTTGCCTCTCCTAAACAGCTTCAAAATTTAATGGTTGATGCATCTTAGGGTTAGGATAGTATGTTTTAACCCTTAAACTGTCCAAACAGAGATACACGCCGACGTGCGGCAGGCTCCGAACGTAGATCTACATTTTTTTTACGTGCTTTCAAATGGGAAAATCAAGGCCGGAGCACTACACACGTGAACGTAGATCTACGTTTGGACAGTTTAAGGGTTAAGTTTTGCTCATGTGGTGACAAATTTATATTAGTAAAATATTGTAGTAAGAAAAAAAAAGTGGAATCATTGGAATCCATGCCATAACTGGAGAATGACTTTAAATTTTTACCACTGGTATCATTTCCCAAACACAAGGATCATGCTGCCATTGGGTAGCGTAAGTCCCAATTTGCCATTTTACTGAATAAAGAATGACATTAATTTTTTATTCAATAACTAATGAATGCTTGTTCTGATTGATTTCAAAATACGATAGATGATGTTTTTTTTGAAGAGAGGTGATAAGCCGTAAGCTTAGTCTGAAAATATAAAATCTCACTGGTATGTCATTCATAATTACTCACAGTATAATAATATAAATAATAAGTACCTTTATTTCTACAAGTTTATGATAAAACTAATACAGACCTAGATATCAGTAACATACTACATAGAAAGGCCCTGGCTATGCAGAGCATTTCGGGCAACTTAGGTTAATTTTGTCCCTAGAATGTGACCCACACTAGTCAGCTAACACCCAGGTATCTATTTACTGCTAGGTGAACAGGGACAACAGGTGTCTTAAGGAAACACGCCTCAACATTTCCACCCATAAAGAGAATCAAACCTTGGGCCTGGTCTCAGACTGGGCTGCGAGGGCACTGACCCCTGAAACCCTCTCCTAGTATACTCCAGGTAATGACCTCAATGTGAGAGCTAAGTGCACTATCAATCGAGCTACAGGACAGTGATGAAGACTAATGCGAATCACTAAGTCACTGTATAACCACCTTCAGTCTACTCACTTACAGGTGGCTTCTGCTGTGGATCTTAAGTCAATTGTAGCTGAATTTCAGGAAAATTACTGAAAAACTCATAGGAGGGTATCTGATAAAATGCAGTTCATTTCAATGAAGATTGTTGTTGATTCTGAACCTGGATATCATCAGAAAATTAATACTGCTCATAAACTCTACACAAATGCTTACTTTTGTGTCAGACATGTTATTCAACAAATTAAACAGGTGAGTTTCCAACAACTTTTCTAAAATACTGAAGGACTTATCAGCTATGACTCCTCAAGATGCTTTGCTTCTAAAGAAATTTTGTATTCTGAAAATATTTAACCATGGTGTCAGAGAGGAAAAGTTTAAGTGTTGAGCATCAAGTGAAAGAGTGTGTTGAGCATCAAGTGAAAGAGCGTCTTGAGAAAAAAAATAGTCATACTATCACAATTCCACTTTAAGTTGCTACTATGCTCAGACCATACTATGATGCTTTCACAGTTCTGTATCAGCTGGTGTGCATCAGTGTGTCTTTGCCAGTTAATTATGTAACATATGAATCTAGTTTTCCTGCTGTGACTGACAAAATCTTACTTGAGGAACAAGTGATAGTGTGGTTATACTATCTATTAATTGAAAAGAGCCAAGAGTCTGAACATTAAGAGTTATCATTGATAACTTTGCTTCCAACCATAACAAAGGAAGAATCACATAGTTATAGCTTCCAGTTACCCTGAACCTCTCATTTGAGAGTAGAATAAGTCTATTATGCTCTTCCTGCATATCGACCCTTTTGGGTTTAGCACAATCTGATTATTATATTGTTATCTCTTCCCCTATATCATTACATTAATAAGGCCATTATTTTGGTGAAAGGTTATATATTTATTTAATTTCATATAATTATTGTTCATTTTCTTTGATATGGACATTTGCTTTCTCTCTTATAAGGTGCAAATATAAGGATATTTCGAAATTTTTTTATTCCAATTGATCTGTAATATACACTAAAATTAAAATAGTGCTTGCTCTGCAAATGCAAGAAAACCTTTAGTCCCCATCCAACCAGCTAACTCTGCAAGCACCCCCTAAAAAAAAAATCAAGGCACCACTCTTGAAGCCAGTGATGATGCTCTTTAAAGCATTTACTTTTCAGATGAGAATGCTGTACAGTGACAGCAAAATCTAAGACTGGCAAAATTCTAGAACTGGTGAATGAAGAGAAAGTTAAATAAATGCCCATACAGATTCAAATTCTTAAATTAGTGGGAATAATTAATAACCCTTAAATTATACTCCTTAGATTGCAGGAAAGAAAGGTATAATTTAGAGAGGAACATGCTTAAGAAAGTAGTTCTGAATCTGCAAACCGAGATTAGCTACTTCTTGTGAGAATGGGAGGCTTCTAGTTTCTCCAACCCCTTATTTTATTTATTTATTTCTACAAGTACATGTACAATGTATACAGGACATATGTGCTATTATATAGAAAGGCCCCATGTTATGCAGAGCATTTCAGGCAAATTAGGTCAATTTTGTCCCCCAGGATGTGATCCACACCAGTTGACTAACACCCAGGTATCCAATTTTACTGCTAGGTGAATAGCAACAGCAGGTGTCTTAAGGACCACCTATACCAGGGATCGAACCTTGGACCTCAGTGTGTGAGCCAAGTGTGCTACCAATCAAGCTATGGATCATTTGCAGCCCAGTGCATCAACTTTAATGTCCGTTAGTAGTGTAAATCTCCAGATTTATTAAGGTTGACGGACTGATCACCTCCAACTACTTCCATGTCTACCACCACCATCAGGATTATTCTGACTGATAAAACCCATTGGCTGGCAAAACGTCAGCACAGAAGTGACTCTGAAGTGTTACACCTGTCTTATTCATCGATTTTGCAGTTATAACCCACATATATAAAATACATACAAAGATACATCTATTGGGGTCTTCCCGATACCTTTAATCCATCAGCATGCCCGTTGTGTGCGACTTATCCCGACACGTGTCAAACTCAACATTAAAAAAACACCTAAGTAATATACATGCATTCTTTTTATCAGTCATATATCACACAATGAAGGTAGATACATACTTAGCACTTACTGAAGGAAGGACTGCAGTGCGGTAGCAATAGTCAGTAGGTTCAAGAAGGTAGCGAGGACGAATGACAAGTGCTTCAGACTGGTTACTAACAAGTAGTTCAGTAGATGTCAGGTCCTCGTGATTGTGACTAAACGTTCCCTTGTTATGACGTCAGTTCTTAGAATTATCATAGACTCAACAATCATTCAACCTTGGTACTTCATTAGCAAGTCTCCGCCTCTTCCGGGCACTTATGGGTCATCACAGACTTCTCGTTAGTTCTACACCTTTATAAGAAGTTATTTAACACACACTATGCTTCCTTATATCTAGTAAATACTCACAGCCGTACGAAAATAAAGGTGAAGATGAGGAGGCCTTGACTTCACTCGCGTCCGTCGCCCACTGTCTTCTAAACATCAAATTTTCACCAGATATGAAATACTCAAGAGTTTTCCACCACTCGTACTTTAACTTGAGATAAAAAGGCCCTTTATGGGATATTTAAACTTGTCCTTTTATTGTGTATTGAATACGATAAATAGTAATTACTAATACGAAGCAACACCCACGTTACGTTGACCAGACATTGAAATGTCACTCCTTGATACAAAGTTATACAGATCAAAAGATGTCTTAACACGAAAAAACATGGCATCTGCCTTGGCCCTATCATAACATAAACAAAATAAAAAAAACTATTGAAAATTACATTGAAGTAAACCAATGGAAATACGTAACAGTGACTTTATTAGGCTATCCCATGTTAAATCTACAAGTAATATATATAGGTGCTCCAATAACACCTGTGTGCCCGTAAACCTGTGCCCCCTTAAGACCACTTTAAGACATTTTATATGTTATATATGGAATACTTAAATATAACATTATTATTTATTTATCAGGATACGTGCAGATTACTTATGTAACATAGGAGCCTTATTGAAAACAGGTCACAGTTTTTGACTATTGAGTTATCCTAGACTAATGTCTGCATTAGTTGTTGTATTGTGTAGGACCTTTTGTAAAAATGTAAAATTATATTCGTAACCTAAATAATAAATAAAAATAAATAAATAAATTGAGTGTAAGACATCTGTATAGTATCTTAGGAGGCGTGTCAGTGATTACTTCCTCGGGAGCTAAAGTCCACCTGCTTAATATTGTCATTGAAAATGAAAGAAAAACCATGAAAGTACAAAATAGTGTAATATGGTCTTTGGAAATTATATTATATATTTTTTTCTAAATTGTATCACTTACCTCTAATATATTTTTGTCAGTATCCGATTCTAAAATATTTTAATGTTACTGTTCTATAACTGTTATTTATAAGTATAAGATGGCATCTATATTATTTAGGTTTCTTTAGCTTTAATTAAGTTTAAATCATCTGTAGTAGTATTATATAAAGAAAATACCTTATTGCATCATACACAATATAGGTTTAAATTTCCCCAGCTGCACTAAATGTGTTCCTATCTACTGTATTTATGTAAATGAAGTTATCAGTATCATTATCATGTCATACTGATAAAGTGTCATGCTTATAAAGATATATATTAATATGAATTTTATTTTTTTTTGTAAGTGGTTGTCAGGGCCGCTGCTTCAGGAGGAATTAGACACTCGTGTATGTCAACAGTGCTGTATCAGTAATTATATTTTTTCTAACCATCTTTATTCAGGTTAACGCATTATAGTTTTACAGGCAGCATTATACAGATGCATAATGATTGCAATAAGTATATACTTTTTATGATCACGGGGATAAATAATGCGGAGTTAAGCAGGGGCAAGAAGAGTCAGTTTGAGTTTGAGTTTTGTGATTCCAATTCCGTTAATCTGTCTTGAGGGAGGCTCCTTGATGCTGGTGAAAAGCTCGTGATCTAAGGAATTGGACCTGTGCTCCAATTCCTTGAATCGAGTCTGAATGACTTCCAGTTCCAGGGGGCTTAGGGTATAGCACTACCCCACCTCTCTGTGACTTAAGTTTACTTAGGTACGAATTAAAAGTTTTTGGATGAATTACAATAGTAACATGTTTCAGTTACCATGGGGTCCAACACATTACTTTTCTGGACCTCTCCAAAGCGGTGCCTTGACACCTCAAAGGGCTTTTGATATAGGGAATTGGCACTACCCTCCCCATTTTGTTTTTATCAAACTGCTTGTTGCATCCTGGGAGGAGCAGCAAAGAACGCCAGTGCAAGCCACACTGACTGTCTTTCTTGGGTTATCCTGGCTCCTCAAGAAAGGTACCTTGGTATTAATGTGGTGCTCTTCATCCAAGGAATTGAACTTATTTTTCCCATGGATTTAAACTAACCAGAGTGCCTACCATATCTTGAGATGCTATGACTCCAGTTGGTTTACTGCTTCCCCATGAATAAAATAATATTGCTATTATAATAATATTTGTGTTATTATGGGTTAATAACCCTCCTGATTAATAATCCAGACAAAATTTTCCTTATTCCCAAGGTGCTGTATGAGGTGTACAGGTTTAGGGCCTCTCATAAACATAATACAACTGGCAGTTATCTGCAGGAAAGAAACCTATAATGAATTTTTTTTTATTATTCTTAAATATTCTTAATTTATAGAAGGCTTTACTTGGATTTTTAACCTGGAATGTTAATTTTCACACCACACAAGAAGTGTAAGCTAATTGGTGTTTTAAGCATTTTTTTTCTTTGTAAGTGTATGCTAAAGTTCCTGTTAACCATGTGAGTTAGGAGGAACAGAGGACTCAGATAGAAATAAGTCACTTTGGGTAATACTAGTTTTTATGCATACCTGTGTCTAAATAAACTTAGTAAATGTGCAACACATGATGTGACTGAAGTACCTGACTTATCAACCTGAGTCACGTGGGTGGATGTTGGACAGAGCAATAGATTGGTTTCCACCTTCAGGTCTCTCGAGTAATTAAGTCTGCTTTGGCATCATTGGACCTGGTTAGTAACTGGATAGATAATGGACTGAACAGAACATCACCCTTGGAAGGGTAGGGTTACCTCAGTGAGGCATAGCATTCCTATCTTCTTAAATAATTTGCCACACTATATACAGTAGTATTCAGAAGCTACAGATTCGTGTTATGATGAAATTGTTACTGTGGACACAGCTACATTAATAGAGTTAGGTTAGATATGTTTTTTTTTTTTACAAAATAAAAAAAGCTTAGCATTTAACTTCATCACATAGATATTAACTTGGCATTAGAGGGTTTTTGGTTTAATTGCTTTATTAGATGATTATTGAAACAAATTACTAAAGATTATTCCAATATAGAGTATCATAAATGTACTTAAATGTAGTGTATTCTTTACTGTAAATATACTTTTTCAGAAGTGACACTGAAATCTATAGAATATGGCAACCATTCGTCATAGTCTTCAGCGAGATGTATTTGAGCCAACAGAGGAGCGCCTTATTGGCGTATTATATGTAACAAAGCCTGGCAAAAAGAAAAAAACAAGCTTTTTATGTGCCACAATAAACAAAGAAAAGCCTGTGTATGCTACAGTTCATCAGGTAAAGCTATTTTTGCATAATTAATATTCTAATACTTAATACCTCCTTAGACTTGCTGAATGCATTTAACATAAGGCCGCATAGTTAAACACCTTTGATACAGTTCCTTTATACACACACCTCTGATAATCAGTACATACCTTTTAGGCAGCCAGTTATATTTTTATTAACATTGCTTTGTTTTCACGTACACCCCCCTTCCTTTTTTTTTTTAGTGCTCAGAGGTAATATACAGTGGAACCTCAAAAATCAAACTTAATCCGTTCCAGTAGCTAGTTCTAAATTCAAAAAGTCTGAAATTCGAAGCAATATTTCCCATAAGAAATAATGGAAATACAATTAATCCATTCTAGAAACCCAAAAATATTCACACAAAAAAAACATTTTATAGAGATTAATAACAGTTTTACATACAACAAATACTATAGTTTTTTATTATGTATAATAATACATATAAAATAACATTTTTACTTACCTTTATTGAAGATTGGTGATGGCATCTGGAAGATAGGGAGGAGGAGAGAGGGAGTTGGGGTTAGTGTTTGGAAGGAGAATCCCCCTCCATGAGGACTTCAGGTAAAGCCCTCTCTGGGGTTACTTCCCTTCTGTCTTTTAATGCCACTAGGACCAGCTTGAGAGTCACTGGACCCCTGTCTCACAAAATAACTGTCCACAGTCCTCTGTTTCTGGTGCCTCTTTAACATTTCCCTAAAATGGGACATGGTTCTGTCACTGAACTTGTTGCAAAGATGGCTTGTTTCAGCTTGCTCAGGGTGGTACTTCTGCACAAACATTTGGACATCATTCCACTTGGCACAAATCTCCTTAATCTTTGAAGAAGGCACCTCATTCACTCCCTGTATTAACACCTTTCGCAACATCAGCTTCCTTGATTTGTTCTTTCTTTGACAGGATAGAACCGATGGTCAACTTGTTTTTCCCATACATCCTGGCAAGCTCAACAAGTCTCACACCACTCTCATACTTCTGTATTATTTCCTTCTTCACATCTATGGTGTTTCTCACTTTCTTTACCACAGGGGTACCACTAGCAAGTTTCTTTGGGCCCATGGCAGCTTATTTCACAGTCCCACAAGCACTAAACAAAACGAAATAACTGTAAAATGCGTGAATGAGAGCACAGGTTAGTGTTCACTCAAGCATAAACAAAGCTAGACTGCTCACGGCACCTGCACGGGGACGTGGACAGAGCGAGCAGCAGACAGGTCCTGTACCCGGCAGTCCGAAAATAGGGGCACGTTTGATAATAGGGACACAGTTTGTCCGAGAAAATGGTTCTGTTTTCGAAACGTTCGATATGTGATACGTTCGATTTTTGAGGTTCCACTGTATTTGCAAAGAACCCCTTAAAAATAAATACAGTGTACTACTATATTTCATCTAGTTTTTTTTTTTAACACATCGGCCATTTCCCACCAAGGCAGGTGGCCTGAAAAAGAAAAACTTTCATCATCATTCACTCCATCACTGTCTTGCCAGAGGCATGCTTACACTACAGTTATAAAACTGCAACATTAACACTCCTCCTTCAGAGTGCCGGCACTGTATACTTCCCATCTCCAGGAATTAAGTCCGGCCTGCCGGTTTCCTTCATTCCCTTCATAAATGTTACCTTGCTTACACTCCAACAGCATGTCAAGTCCTGAAAACCATTTGTCTCCATTTGTTCGTATCTACCATGCTCACACATGCTTGCTGGAGGTCCAAGCCCCTATTACACAAAACCTCCTTTACCCTCTCCCTCCAACCTTTCCTAGGCTGACCCCTACCCTGCCTTCCCTCCACTACAGATTTATACACTCTCAAAGTCATTCTACTTGGTTCCATCCTCTCTACATGTCCTAATCATCTCAATAATCCTTCCTCAGCCCTCTGTATAATAGTTTTGGTAATTCTACACCTCCTCCTAATCTCCAAACTATGGATTCTCTGCATTATTTCACACCACACATTGCCCTCTGACTTGACATCTCCACTGCCTCCAGCCTTCTCCTTGTTGCAACATTCACCACCCATGCTTCACACCCATACAAGAGCGTTGGTATAACTATACTCTCATACATTCCCGTCTTTGCTTTCATGGATAATGTTCTTTGTCTTCACAGACTCCTCAGTGCACCACTCACCTTTTTTTCCTTGTCAATTCTATAATTCACCTCATCTTTTGTAGACCCATCTGCTGACACGTCCACTCCCAAATATCTGAATGCATTCACCTCCTCCATACTCTCTTCCTCCAATCTGATATCCAATCTCCGTTACCTAATTTTTTTTGTTATCCTCATTACTCTTTTCTATATTCACTTTTAATTTCCTTCTTTTACATACTCTTCCAAACTCATCAGCCATCCTCTGCAACTTCTCTTCAGAATCTCCCAAAAGCACAGTGTCATCAGCAAAGAGCAGCTGTGACAACTCCCACTTTGTGTTAAATTCTTTTATCTTTTAGCCCCACAGCTCTTGCCATCACCTGAGCATTCACTTCTCTTACAACTCCATCTATAAATATATTGAACAACCATGGTGACATAACACATCCCTGTCTAAGGCCTACTTTTACTGGGAAATAATCTCCTTCTCCCCTACATACTCTAACCTGAGCCTCAGTATCCTCATAAAGACTCTTCACTTCTTTCAATCTAAAGTGTCTGATAGAAAGATCAGTATCTCTGATGGAAGTTACGAGTGGAATATAGACTATTGTATTCTAAAATAGTAATTCATTACAAGCGTTGTATGCTGCAATGTGGGTACAATGATTTTAATTTCTAATATACCTGTAAATCTTTTATGCACTGCATATTTCTCACTCAGGTGAAGAAGACAGATAAGGAAGTTTATAAGAAGAAGAATTCCTGGCCGCTTCGAGAATTGCAAGTTGTGGATGGAAGAGATGAAAACAAGGTAAAAGTGTGCAGTGTATGTATTACTATTAATATTGCTGAAGCAAAAGAGGTATTAAGTAATTTACATTCTTACAGTAGTATTTAAATGCATGTTTGATGTGAGCAAACGTTATTTCATATACGTAATGTGCAAAGTGTTTGCATTTGAAGATAAATTGTAATGCCCTGGCAGATACTGTATAATCACTGGGCAACAGTCTTTTGAATGTGAATAACACACAAAACTACTAGTTAAAAGTGATTTTTGGAACTGTTTGGTTAGGGAGTACGGGACCTCATAGCTAGTGACAGTTGGTCAGGGAGTGCAGTATCTAATGAGGGTCACTTGGTTAAGGAGTACAGTATGTTACAACTAACAGTATAGCGGAACCTCGGTTTTTGTTTGCTCTGGTTTTCATCGAATTCGCTTTTTGACGACTTTTTTCGTCAAAATTTTGTCCCAGTTTTCATTCATCACCTCAGTTTTCATCGGTCTGCCATACCAAACATGTCCGCCTGCTAGCGCCCACACAAAGCACCCCACGCATTCTGAGTCAGTCTGGCTTTGTTTCTCGTCGAGTGAGCATTACCCTGTGCCTTCATCTGAAACATTTTGTAATAATCCATTAGTTTTTGTGCCTGTTTATTGAGGGTGACTGATAATAAGTCACCATGGGGCCAGAGAAAGTTCTGAGTTTTAGCCCTTTGATAAAGAAGGCAAGAAAGAACTCATAGCGTGGGGTTGGATGCGAGTGGCCAGGAAGAGTTGGTGGACAACCACAGGAAAGAGCTGACCACTGAAGAGCTGTAACACCTTCAACTGGAACAGCAACAGATCACAGCTGAGGAAATTGCTTCAGAGGAGGAGGAGGAAGAGAGAGGGGAGAATATGCCTTCTTCAGTGATTAAGGACATGTGTGCAAAGTGGAGTGAACTGCAAAGTTTTGTGGAGAAATATCACCCTAACAAAGCTGTTGCAAGCCATGTCTGCAACATGTTCAGTGTCAGTGCCTTGTCCCATTTTAGGCAAATCTTAAAGATATGCCAGAAACAGATCTCTCTCGACAGATTTTTTGTGTGACAAGGGTCCAGTGCCAGTAAAAGACAAAGAAGGGAAGTAACCCCAGACAGGGACTTGATACCTGAAGTCCTTATGGAGGGGGATTTCCCTTCCAACCAGTAACCTCTCCTCCTCCCTCTATGCTAGGTGAGTACATATAGGAAACGCGACTGTCTCGCGCTCATCTGACGGAGGATCGAGCCTCTACCAGGCCTTGCACTGGATGACCCTTATGGATTTAGTGCTTAACATAAATTAATTAATTGAAATCCTCCTCCCTCTCCTCTCGTCGCATCTTCCATACACCAGCAAGTCTCTTCAATAAAGGTAAAAGTGATATTAAATGTTCATTTATCCATTTCATTAGTCATATATTTATTTCTTATTGTTTTCTGTATGTAAAATTATAGTTATTCTCTATAAAATGTATTTTTTGTTAATACTTTTGGGTGTCTGGGACGGGTTAATTGGATTTACATTATTTCTTATGGGAAATATTGCTTCAGTTTTTGTTGAATTCGGTTTTCGTCAGACTTTCTGGAACGAATTAATGACGAAAACCAACGTTCCACTGTAGTTAGTTGGTTTAAGTGCAGTACCTAACAGGTAGTGTGTGAAGCATTTGATGTAATGCTGTGGATAATTTGATGAAGTGTGCTTCTGTTGTATTAGTTTTCTGATAACCAGTATGTGCAAAAATAATTTGAAAGGCTAGGTGTCACTTTGGGTATCTTTAATATACGTTACCTTTTAATTGTTCTGGGGCTCAGTGCACTTGTGGTTCAGTCTCCAATTAGGCCTTTTCATGGCCTAACCAACCAAATATTTTTTGTAACATGCACTCTAATCTTAGTACATGCCACAATTTGTCTTATCTAACACATACAGTGGACCCAAGGTTTTCGGCCGTTCCGCTTATAGGCCAACTCGGTTATTGGCCATTTTTTCGGCTTCCGGTTATCGGCCGTTATTTCGCTTATCGGCCATATGGGATGCATCAACCCACCGCCACCAGCCACTCACGCATCAATTTGGCTGTCTCTCTGGGCGAGTGAAGAAGCTTCTGCTCATTCATCCAAACATTTCGCTGTAATCCATTGTTTTTGGTGGTTATTAAGTGCAACTGCAAAATAAGTAACCAGGGGCCCCAAAGAAAGTTCTTAGTAAAGTTCCTTTGGTAAAGAAAATGAGAAACACAATAGAATTTAAGAAAGAAATTGTAGCACAGTACAAGAGTAGTGGTGGTATTGATAGTGGTAGAGGGTGGTAGTGGTTGTGATGGTTGTAGAGGTTGGTTGTGATGGTGGTAGAGGATGGTAGTAATGGTCATAGAGGGTGGCAGTGATGATGGTTAAAGGTAGATCTACAAGACCTTCATCTGGAACAGCAGCAGACCACAGCTGAGGAAATTGCTTCAGAGGAGGAGGAAGAGAGAGGGGAGAATGTGCCTTCTTCAGTGATTAAGGACATGTGCAAAGTGGAGTGAGTTGCAGGGGTATAGTGACTCTATAGCCTCTCTCCTCCTCCCTATCTTCCAAAAACCAAGAAGAGTCTTCAATAAAGGTATGTAATACTGATTTAATTGTTCATGTATTTATTTTATTTAGTTCTCATTGTTTTGTGTATATAAAGCTATAATTAATCTTTAAAAAACTATTTTTTTTTTTTGTGAATATTTTTGGGTGTTTGGAACAGATTAATTGTATTTTCATTAATTCTTATGGGAAATATTATTTCAGTTTTCAGTCATTTTGGTTTTAGGCCAAGCTTCTGGAAGAGAATACAACTGATAACCGAGGGTCCACTGTATAACATAAGACAGTGGAGCATTGCACTAAGCCTACTGGCCAATGCTGAGCAAGTCCAATTCACACCCATTTACTACACCCACATGATCATGTATATACCTGTCCAACCTATATTTAAAGCTACCCAACGTTCTCCCTTCAGTGACAATACAGTGGACCCCTGGTTATTGGCCGGTTTGGTTATCAGCCAACTCGGTTATCGGTGGGTTTTTCGGCGCCCGGTTATTGGCCGTTCACTTAGTTATCAGCCATTTTGGATGTGTCCATCCTCCGGCTGGGGCAGCTTGCGCTTCAGTTTGGCTTTGTCTCTCAGTGGCTGAGGAAGCTTCTACTCTTACATCCAAACATTTCGCTTGTTTACCATTGTTTTTAATGGTTTTTCTTGCAGTGCAACTGTGAAATAAGTAACCATGGCTCCAAAGAAAGTTCCTAGTAAAATTCCTGTGGTAAAGAAAGTGAGAAACACCATGGAATTTAAGCATGAAGTGATATAAAAGTTTGAGAGTGGTATGAAGGTGGTGGAACTTGCCAGGATGTACAGCACAAATAAATCAATAATTTCATCCATCCTGGCAAAGAAGGAACAAATCAAAGACTAATGTTGCAAAAGGAGTAACTTTTCTAACTAAACAAAGGCCACCAATAATGGAAGAGATGGAAAAGTTATTATTATTGTGGATTCAGGAGAAAGAATTAGTGGGAGAGTGTTGTGGAGTTGATTATTTGTGAGAAGGCAAATCAGTTGCATGAGGATCTTGCAAAGAAAATGCCTGGAACAAGTGCTGCAGTTTGTGAATTTAGGGGCCAGCAAAGGATGGTTTGATAGATTTAAGAAGCGTAGTGGCATACACAGTGTTGTAAGGCATGGTGAGGCTGCAAGTTCTGACAAATGTGCAGCTGAAAAGTATATTCACAAATTCCAGGACTGTGTAAAGGCTGAAGGATTCGAACCCCAACAAGTGTTCAGTTGTGATGAAACAGGCCTGTTTTGGAAGAAAATGGCCAACAGGACCTACATTACCCAGGAGGAAAAGGCACTGCCAGGACACAAGCCTATGAGAGACAGGCTTACTCTTTTGTTGTGTGGTAATGCTAGTGGGGATTTCAAAGTGAAGCCTTTACTCATGTATCAATCAGAAAATCCCAGAGTGTTCAAGAAAAACAGTGTCATGAAGAATAGATTGTGTGTGATGTGGAAAGCTAATCATAAGGCATGGGTCACAAGGCGAATTTTCAAAGAGTGGGTTAATGATGTGTTTGGCCCAAGTGTGAAAAAATACCTCCTGGAAAAGAAACTGCTGCTCAAGTGCCTCCTGGTACTGGATGATGCTCCTGCACATCCTCCAGACTTGCAAGACCAAGTGTTAAGGGACTTCAGTTTCATCACAGTGAAGTTCTTGCCTCCTAACACCACTCCTCTCCTCCAGCCCATGGACCAGCAGGTCATTTCTAACTTCAAAAAACTCTACACAAAAGCAGTGTTTCAAAAGTGCTTTGAAGTGACCTCGAACACTCAGTGGACCCTAAGACATTTCTGGAGGAATCACTTCACTATCCTCCATTGTATAAGCCTTATAGGTAAGGTTTGGGAGGGAGTGACTTCCAGGACTTCGAACTCTGCTTGGAGAAAACTGTGGCCAGATTGTGTCCAAGAGAGGGATTTGGAAGGGTTTGAGGCTCACCCTGACCCTGACCCTGTTGACCCTGTGGACTCTATTGTGGCACTGGGGAAGTCCTTAGGGTTGGAGGTGAGTGGTGAGGATGTGGAAGAGTTGGTGGAGGACCACAGGGAAGAGCTTACCACTGAAGAGCTGCAAGAGCTTCAACTTGAACAGCAACAGACTGCAGCTGAGGACCTTGCTTCAGAGGAGGAGGAAGAGGGAGTGAAGGAGATGCTTTCTTCAGAGATTGAGGTGTGTGCCATGTGGACTAGGGTGCAAGCTTTTGTAGAGAAACACCACCCTGACAAAGCTGAAACAAGTCATATCTGCAACATGTTTAGTGACAAAACCCTGTCCCACTTCAGGGAGATCTTAAAGAGACGCCAGAAACAGATCACTCTGGACAGTTATTTTGTGAGACAAAGGTTCCAGGGACTCTCAAGTTGGTCCTAGTGGCAATAAAAGACAGAAGAAAAGTAACCCAAGAGAA